GAACGTTGGAGTTCTCTGTCACTGAAGCAAGCAAGCCTCCCTGTTTGCATCAGCTGCCTGGCTGCCGGCTGCCATCTTGGCTGCCAGTTAATTTGCATATCTCGGCCCTACTCTGTGAGTGACAGGGGGATTAGCCAATGGGAAAGGTAGTGGTCGTACGCCAATTACCATGTTTCTCTTTTATTAGTGTAGATTAACTAGAGGCCCGGTGCACAAAATCGTGCATCAGTGGGGTTCCCTCAGCCTGGCCTGTGGGATCAGGCCAAAACCAGCTTTCTAACATCCCTGAGGGGTCCTGGATCGTGAGAGGGTACAGGCCAGGTCGAGGGACCCCACTGGTGCACAGTCGGGCCAGGGAGGGACACAGGAGGTTGGCCAGCCAGGGAGGGACCACAGGAGAGCTCCAAGGCACGTCCAGCCCGTCTCGCTCAGTCCCGATCAGCTGGACCCCAGCAGCCAACTAACCTACCAGTTGGAGCGTCTGCCCCCTGGTGGTCAGGGCACGTCATAGCGACTGGTTGACGGACCAGTAGACTGTCTACCCCTGGTGGTTAGTACACATCATAGCGAGTGGCCTTAGCATATTATGCTTTGATTGGTTGAACAGCCGACTGGACACTTAGCATATTAGTCTTTTATTATATAGAACTAGAGGCCCAATGCATGAAAATTCATGTAAGAGTAGGCCTTCTTTCCTCCGACTGATAGCACCGGCTTCACTCTGGCACCTGGGACCTGGGCAGCTTCCCTCTGGCCACTGGCCGGCACCCAGGCTAGCTTCCCCCGGGCCGTGCACAGGCACCCGGGACCCAGGCCGGCTTTCCTCTGGCCGCCCGCAGGCATCCGGGACCTGAGCTGGTACCAATTAAATCTAAGGGAGGGGCAGGGTGGGCAGGCCCCGCGCCCTGGTTTCATCAGGAAGGATGTCCAGAATGATATCTGGAAGAAATCCAGTCTAATTAGCATATTACCCTTTTATTATTATAGGTTATTGTATTACTTTCCATACAGACAACTGTAAACCTACTTTTGCCTGACCCTGCATAAATCAAAATGCAATACAAAAATATGATGTCATATTTACTGGGTTACTACTACAGTCCCTAGATTTGGTTAGATCATGGGCTTGGGCAAACAATACCAATGGACCAAATCAGGTCAGACACCTGTCTTTGTAAATAAAGTTTTATTAGAACAGAGCTATGTCTGTTCAATTATGTATTGTCTCATGGGTGGTGCTTTCCTGCTATGACTGTGGTCCACAAAACCTACAGTATTTACTATCTGGCCCTTTACAGAAAGACTGTCCACCCCCGCACGAGCCACGTACACCCGTCTACCCTGAATAGTCTATGGAAGGAAGCTGCTAATGCAAAAAACCTGAAGGCACAGGAGCAACGTGCTCTGTGGCGGCTGCTGGGCCCGGGACCCAGACACATCTGTCACTCCCCTCCCTCTCCAGGCACCCGCGCTGCTCACTTCTCTGAAGACACCGGCACATTCCTGCCTCCTTCCCTTTGCTCACATTGCCTCTCTCATCTGAAGTTTACATCCTCCAGGTCAGCCTCAGGCAACTCCGTAACAGCCACCCTTTCACCCAACAGTAGTTAATACTTAAAAATAATGAACACTGTGGACGAAAGGGGCCACACGCTGACCTGACAGCTCAGGGGAGGCCTGCATGGGGTCTTGCAAACTCAGACCTACAGTCACCACAGGACGGTCTGAAATTAAGCAGTGATGGTGGGCAGTTACATCCTAGGCCAGTATCTTCACTGCCAAGGTCAACCTTTACCTTAACTGAGCCTGTCTGTCTTTTTGCCTCTATGATAACATACCCTTGTAATGTCTGGGTAACTTGTAAACTCCCTTTTTCCTGACCCCTTGGGGCACAACCTAAGGCGCTGGGCGCCAGGGCAGAGACCAAAAATTCCTTCATTATCATGTTAATTGATCCTGCACCCACCTAAGCATGTGTCCATCATTTTACTTCTTATCCAATCCAGGGGTTTCCCTGCTTTCCTTTCTCCCGCCCCTCTAGTCCATCACCAGTGGGTTTCATGTAACTCACCTACCTCCCTCCTTCCATGGGAACGTGTAAAAATAGAGGAACACCCGCCATTCTCTGGGGCATTCTCTCGGTCCATTGCTTCTCGGCAACTGTCGACAGTTTGGCTCAAATAAACTCACAAAATTTCTTTACAGGTCTGAATGTTTTTTCACATTAACAACACGATAGCAGTTCAACGACCTAAACTCCTTCCAACAGCAGCCACACCCCAGCCACTCCAGACTCACTCCTCAACTCGTCTCTGAGCCGGTGCGGCGCGAAGGGACAGGCCCCAAACACACCGGCTGGCGCGGCAGGCTCCTAGGGGGGTATATCCTAGCGGCGGGACAGGGAATGCCCACAGCGCGGGGAAACCAGGGCGCCAGACCAGGGCAGGAAGGCCCCGGCGCAGGGCTCAGGCCCGGCG